AGCTCCCTGTGGCCTTGGCCAAGGCTGCTGTTGGTCCTTCAGTGCATCTGGAAGTTTCCTCTTCCCATTCTTGCTTTCTTCCCCCTGATCCTACTAGTGTGATCCCAAGGGCACCTTGTAAACATCCTAAAAGCCAAACTCCCTGCCAGAGGCTGCCTCTTTGGGAATCCCACCCTTGGTACCTCTTCCTGCTTGTCTCTGGGTTGATGGGACCCAAAACTCATTATACCTATAGAAAAATGTAAGAATGATGTCTTTTGAGAGTCGTTACTTTTTTCCATGTGTGGACTCTGGGTCATTTCTCCTTTGGGAACTAGTAATACCATTTTGTACATTTCTAGACTGACTATATATTTTATATAATGCTGTGGCAATTTCCCCATCAGCTGTTTAAAGCTGGGAAAGAGCTTTCCCAGGAAGCTGACTAGGGAGTTCATATCACAGGAGGGTGGATCGTGGGCCATGTGGGGATCTGATGCTAATTTTGTCTTGACTAACATTTTAAAAATTGATTCTGGGTCCAGAAGGCCAGAAAACAACCAAGTGAAAACATCAGGACCCAGCTCTTAGAATTTGTAAATATTACCCTAAAAGGAAAAGGGATTTTGTAAATGGGACTAAGATAGGGTTTTGCTCTGGGGAGGCTGTCCTGGAATATCCAGATGGAGCCTAAATTTAATCATAAGCATCATGACAGTGAGGCCAAAGATGGTTTGATACACAAACAGAAGAGAAGGCAACAAGGGAGAAATTGGAGTGATGTGACCACAAGTCAAGAATGCCTGCAGCCACCTGGAGCTGGAATAGACTTTTTCCTAGAGTCTGCCAATATCTTGGTATTGGCTTAGTGAAACTGATTTTGGACTTCTGGGTTCCAGAATAGTGAGAGAAGTACACTTTGGTTTAAGACACTGAATTTGCAGTAATTTGTTACAGTAGTCTTGGGAGACTAATCCACTGGGTCTTACCTGAATGTTTGGTTCTCTATACTTCTGACCAATATTGAGGGCAGGGAGAATAACATAAGCAACTTGTCCAAGTACTTTACTCAGGAGAGAGAACTCCACCAATTTCTGGCGCTGGTTCCTTCTAGGGAATTGTGCTAAGGCACAGAAGATACAGATGTTTAACTCCTTGCTTTATTAGTACAGGTAGAAGCCCAACCCATATGGAAAGTGCTGGGGCCTGTAGAATGTAAGCTCCTTTTGAACTCTTTCACACCTGACTTAAATGTTTCTCCTTAGGAAGAGGAGTGTGTTTACCAAGATGAGATACTAGATTATGTCTTGCATTGTCCCGCTTCCTTCTTTATTTGCTTGTAGTTTGTCTCACTGTTACATCATTAACTGTGCTCCTGTTTCCTGGGAAACTGAGTGATGTCAGAAGGGCTTAGATTTACATAATCTTAACCTTATTAGTCAAATCCACCCATTGGCCCCTTGAGGTCCCTCATTTGGGGTACACAAATGCAAACATTGGGAATTTTCTTGTTTTCTATTTTTATCCACAAGTTTTAGTGACCTGTACACTTTTCTCTCAATTTACTAATTTCATTCATCTTATTTCTATTAGCTTGACATCTTCCTCTACTCCAATACAATGGATTTCCTGTGGATCAATACTGTCAGCTCAGTGCTTTTCAGCAAAGACAGTGAAGGTTTGCTTAACAAACCCGCGGATGGCACAAAGCTGTAAGACAGACCTTTCCAATTCAAACATGAAATAGGAGAATCAGAATTGATAAAGTTTTATCATCTTTGGGAAAGATAGATCTGAACCAACATGTTGAAACAAAACAGAAATATAAATATCACACATTTGGTTTCAGAATGATCAACTGGGTCATGACAGGATTGGGGAGGCTTTTCATTTTCCAAATGAGAGCCACTGAGAGCCATTTATGTGCAAAGAGTGGAGGACGTAGTTGGGCACAGGCTCAGTATGAGCCAGCTGTGTGTGTGTTGCCTGATAAAGAGCTTGCACAGTCATTGGCTGCATTAGCAGGGATACAGTGACTAGACAGTGGGGGCCATGTGTTCTGGACAGGCCAGACTGCATATGGACTTGAGGAGGATGATAAAAGACTTGGGTTTAAACTCCTGTCCCTGGTGCGTGGCCCAGGGCAGTGCTGGGAACAAGGCTGAGCAGATCGTAGCTCACATGAAGAAGCAAAGTCAGGGCTGTCAGACCCAAATTCTTTGAGCTCTCCAGAGAGTTTACCTTGAACACAGTAAGGATGAACGTCTGTCAGAAGGGCCCTGGAAAGATTTACTACACTTGGCAAGAAACTGGCCCAGATGAGCTCTTTCTATTGCTGACAGTCATGGTTCTTCTTCTTCTTCTTCTTCTTTTTTTTGTTTTGTTGTTTTTTGGAGACAGGGTCTTACTATGCAGTTCAGGCTGGCCTTGAGCTCACTTTGTAGCCCAGGCTGGTCTTGAACTCACAAAGATCCTCCTGCCTCAGCTTCCTGAGTGCTGGGATTACAGGTGTGCATCACTACGTCCGGCTCAGTCATGGTTCTTTGAAGTCTATACAGGCCTCACATGAATCATGTGAGGTAGGTAGGGTGGTGATATGATTTCTGTTGCAAAGAGGAGAGTGGGAGAGACTTATCTAAGAGTTGCAGAGGGGAGCCTAAGACAGAAACAAAACTCAGGCTTCCTGACTAGGAGCCCAGGGCTGTTTCCATGAGACTAGGGCTTGCCCTGGATGAATCATATGGGAACTTGGTTTGTTATTTATGTGTATTGTGAAAGTCTTGGTCAAGATCCAGAACATCTTCTAGGCTGGGCCCAATTTGGTTGACTCAAGGTGAATTGGTGGGGCAAGGAGGAAGAGGTGGATTTGAGAAATATTAAAGATTTATTGCCTGGCTGATTCTAGGTATCTTCTTAGTGACTCGAAGGATTGAAGACTTGATTGCCCAAAGGTGAGAAATTGGTCCCTGGTGGGCCATCTGGTGGTGGCTGGGTCCCTGACTTGACAGCCTTGGTATCACTGCCTCAGTGTCCCTTCAGTTTTTCTTGCAGAAATGGATGTTCATGAGCAAAGCCCTTTGTGACAGTGACATCCCTATGACCAGAGCCAGCTGCTGGCAGTTAGCCTTCCTGTGCACTGACCCAGGAAGCAGTGGATACAGCTCCCGCCCCCACCACAGGTAGATGTCGTGGTGGCCTATCCAAGAGCTCCTCAGCTCTCTTTCCCTTCCTTGTTCCTGTTTTCTTTCTTTTTTTTTTTTTCCTGAGCAAATATTTCACATTTGACTTCTAGCCCAGGCAGAACACATCCACCTCTTCTGCAAGACAACTAAGGGTTGTCACTAGGCTGCAAATGAACAGCTTTGATTGCTCAGGAAAAGATATTACAATTTTATCTCCTTGTACTGTTCAATAAAACATTAGTATCTCAGCATTTTTATTTAACAATAGGCAACCTTAGGCCAGTAATTATGCAACAATTATAATCATAAAAACTGTCCCCTGCTGCTCACCTAGAAACACGAATATATTAAACCAAGACTAACCATCTAAAAGGCAGGCAGCAAAGCCCCCTCATTTTTAATGTCCCTGCAGTGCACCATGGGAAGCTAATAATTCACCCTCTAATTAGTATCCCTTCTGCTGCTGTTGGCGCAAGGACAGACAAAGAGGGAGCGGCTTCGTTACAAACTCGCCTTGGTAATCTTTAAACGTCGGGATGCACTGCGGGTTGGCTGAGCTGAGCGGGGCAAAACAGGTTGGGCAATTAGAGGTGGGCAGAGGCTCACCTTGTCCGCACTGGGAGTTTTTGCCCTAACAAGCTCCAGGCAAGCACCCTACCAGCCCATCCCAAAGCCCCTTTCTCTTTCAAGCCTTGCCACATGTCTTTTCAATCCTCCTTCATTAAATCTGGCCAGAAGGATGGAGTGGCAGTGGTGGTCGAGAGGTAGAACCTGAGGAAGTAATTGTCCCTGTGAGAGCTGGCATGTCTCAGAGGCCCCCAGGCAGGAGCTGCTCATGGCAGCAACTGCCCCAGCTGACCAGCGAGAGGGCCAGTGGGCAGTGACAGAAGGACTCAGAGGATGACTTTCTGCCCCAGACAGGATGACCTGGGTATCTGCCCAGGTATGTCCAGAGCTTGGTGATTCACTGAACTGCCACCGATCACTGTCCTTGGTCCAGAGGGTCTTGCTCCGACCCTCAGGAGGGCTTGTAAGACCATATAGGACTTCTCAAAGACCAGCATCCACCCTGACTAACCTTGTCATTGTACTGATGAGAAGGCCCAAACCCGCATCAGGAAATAGTCTCCCGGGGTCACACACAGGTTGTCAAGGGCCCCTGTGCTGAGGGGAGGGAGGGAGCGGAGGAGACTGTGGTGAGCAGGAGCTCGTACCCTCTGTTCTGAGGCAGCTCTATGCTAACTGGCATCAGACAGCAGGCATCCAACATGGTTAGATCTGATTTGTAACAGAAAATAAAAACCTAAGATTTTGAGGTAAAATCTGCAGTAAAAGTTTTAGTGACCCAGAATTACATAATCAGATAAGATTATAGAATTAAAAATACATACAGTGCATGTTTGTGAGCCAACCTAGCCCGAGTGCTTCCACAGTGGTACTTCTGGCCAGCCAGGACACAGCCTGATGATGTGGCTTCCTCTGTGCTGAGATTTGGATCCAGTGTGACCACAGTTGGCCTTCCCTGTACCTTGCCTGTGTGGCCAGCAAGTCAGCCCTCTCACTGAACGGTGGAGACCAGGATGGAAGGAGTCAGGGAACAGCTGGGTGTAATTAGGCAGCCAGGATTAAACCCAGGTTTAAAAAGATGGGGCATTTTTCTCTCTATCACCAGCTCATTAGCTCCCCACTTTGACAGCTGAAGCATTCCCAAGGCTGGCCGGAGCCAGATTGTTTTCCTCCAGAGCCATCAGAGAGCACCTAAGATTTGGTAATGAGATTCTTTGTGACCTGAGAGGAGAGGGCAGCAGAAGGCTGAGTCATGAACTCCTGGGACATCTGGACGGACTCTCAGAGCTGCTCCTCCATCCAGAGAACTGGTCTGGCCAGAGGAGAAGCCTGGTGGAGAATGGAGCCGGGAGGTCAGAATTACTTTGCTTAGAAGGGGGAAAGCCCCCAAGACTGAGCTGGAGCAGTGATTACTGTCAGGGTCTTCTTGCCGCGAGCCTTTGCCATGACGCTGTTTGGGCTGCTGCTCTAACTGCTACCTACAGGCGCATCTGTCATCATCAGGGTGGGAAAATCCCAGGGCAGGCCAGGAGGAAGCTTGGGAAGTCAGGTCAAGGTTGAAGAGAATGCCCAAGGCCCTTTCTTGCGCCCCAGGGGATCCCAGAGTTGGCATATCTTTAATGCATTTACCTCAGCTGCAAGGGAACCACTGATATTCTTTTCCTGGGGACTCCCTAGCAGGAGGAGAATGCCTTTTATTTGACCTTTTGTTTTTCTCAAATAGCTAAAATGAAAATAGCGGATCTCTCCCCTGGCTTGGGGAGGAGCTGGTGCTCTGCAGCCCAGCCGGCAGCAGGGGTGGCTGCTGCAGTAATTGGGTGTTAAGAGGGCCACCTGGCCTCTCTGTGGCTGTATTTTGGTCAGAAAAGCTGAGTGTTCTATTTTTGGGGGAGCAGATGTTTTGTTTGTGTTTTTTTTTCTCTTTTTACATTTTAAAAATTTACAGTAAGTTTTAATTTAGGAAGACAATTGCTACTGGTAACAAGGGAAGTGTCTATCACGTGGTTGAGTTCTTATTTCCGGTAGCTGCTATCCCAGGGGACAGAGGGGAACTAAGATTTATTTACTGTCTTACTAGAGTTTTAGGTTCCTCACTTAGCGCATGACATAGATATTATTATCCCCGGTTTCAGATGAAGACTCTGAGGCTTAGAAAGGTGGGACTTGACTTTGGTCACACAGCTGGAAGGAGGAGGGAGTTAAGTGTCACAGATATGTAGAGAAGAATAACCCATGCCTTCCCACCATCCTGGGCTTCCTGTCCTTTTTTTTTTATCTTATAATTATAGTTTTCAGCTTGGAGCATGTTTCTGAATGAAGAGTCCTATCATTTCCTCCAGAATTATTGGCTCAATAAAAATACACTTGGGCCTAGATCTTATTAATTTATTTACAGACTTTTTTTTTGTAAGCCACATAGGTGTTCCTGAAGCACACTTCTGAATGAGTATTTCTAGTTTAGAAAGATAGACACAAGGCCTGGAATCTGAAGATCTGGGCTCAAGATCTGCCTGTTGCCCCTTCTTACCTCTTGGTCTGAATTTGTCACTGCAAATCAAATGATAAAAAGGCATTATTGTGAAAGAGCACCAAGTGAGCTTCTGCACAGGTAGGTACTTTGTACACTCTGGAGTTGCTGTGCAAATGTTAGTCTTCCCTCCTCTAGGCACCCCAGTACCTAAGTCCTGTCTTTCCCTCCAGAATTATGTAAGTGCGGGGTCACACTGGAACTGTTAGCTAAGAGCCCTTATTTGAAAATCTGACAACCCAGCTTCCTCTGCCTGCACAGTTGTTTGCTGATGATTAAATTATTGTAAATTAGTTCTACTCATAGTATAATAAATGCCATTAGCATGACTAATCACATACCTGATTATATAACCCACTCCTCCTCCCTCGACATATTTTCTGCATCCTACAACCAATAAATCCAGTGTTGATATAGAGCTCTTGTTAGGGCTGATGAATGGGCTTTGGAACATTTGCTGGGTGTGTTCTGATTCCTCCCACACTTAGAAAGACCTTTAGAGAGCACCCTCAAGTCAGGGAAAAGATCCTTCAGTACCAGCCTTGCTCATCTATTTGGCTTAGTTCTCAGGCATTGTTGTTATTATTATTTAGTTACTAGTACTAGTAGTGCCATTTGTTGAAATTATTATGTATCAGACCATACTAAAGCCCTTTATGTTTATTGTTTTATTCATGGATGTACTCTTTTGTTTATTCCTTCAAGAAACTGTGATATGAGCATTGCTATTATTATCCCCATTTTATGGAAAATAGTACTGAGGGCCAGAGAAGTTAAGTAACTTGCTCACATCATCTTCTTAGCAAGAGGTAGAGTCAGGACTTGTGTACAAGTCATCCTGGTTCAAAAGCTTATGCCCACCCCAATATACCACACTGCCCCTACTGTGTGGGAAACCATGTAGCTAGAACAGCTCTGCTGGTGGATTTGGACAACCAGGGGGATAGAAGAGCAGTGTAGGTGGGTGAACCCAAACTGGGAGCTGACAGACATCTCCTGAGTTGCCTGGCTGCTTGGTTATTAATGACAGAGAGTAGCTGGTGACATGGTAATGTTGTTGGCAGTGGCCACAGGACCACAGGGGCTGGTGGTGGGTAAGGAAATGCAGTTTTGTGTTGTGTAAGTAGGACATGCTCTTGCTGGGAAGACCTATGTTCAGGACTCAGCTCTTCCTTCTACCTTGTTTTCCTCCTACCTCCACCCTTAGCTTTACTGCCTAACCTGTCTGGGCCTCAGTTTTCTCATCACAGGGCTGTTTGGAGGGTCAAATGAAATTAAGGTTGTAAAAGCAGTTTGTAAGCTGTGAAGTGATTTCCATATGTAAAGAACTATTTCTAACCTTCTTCCGTGAATGAGGACATCCAGAATTTAACCTAAAGCCTTGAGTACTTAGACAAGTACAGATTCATCTTCCAGCTAAACAAATGGGAGGGTAAGGGGCAGCAAGAGAGGTGGTCCAGGCTGGTGTGAGGGTGTCCATACTGGAGAGGACCTTCATTCCAGCAAGACCTTTCCTCGACCTTGCTCCTCCAAATTTGTGTGCAGAATAACCAGTATTTGAAGTGCTTAGCACTGTAGCTTCCAATATATTACACTGCCTCCCCTGTGACTTGCTTTAGGAAAATCAGCCAGGGCTTTGGGATAAGAGAGTGAAGAGCTATCTAGTGTACATGTATTGACTACCATCCAAGACAGGAACGCTCATCCCAGGCTTCCTTGATTTTACAACTTAAAGGAACTTCTCGGTTTGGTCTAAAGGGCAGAGGTCTAAAGAGCTGTCCATGGTAGCAAGAAGTCTTCATAGCTGGGCTTGCCTGGCATGATTCAGTTCTTGAAATAGGGAGCATATGAGATGGGCAGTGCGGGGGGTGGGATGGGGGATGGTACGGAGTGGGTCCACACCAGTTAAGACAACTATGGGGCATCGGTGCTGCTCTCTCAGTCCTGCCATCCTTCATCATGACAGACATCACTACTTGAAAGTAGCATTCTTTCCTGTTGAGCCTCTGAATGCTTCAGTTCTGTGTCGCCCCTAACAAATGGGAGCTGGCTTACAGAAAGAGACCCAGAGAAGGAAATAGATGCATTCAGGATTACAGGTGGGGTTAGGACCAGAAGAGTTCTTTTTTTCATTTTATATCTTGCTAACTTGAATCTTTTCTAAATCTATCTTGGTGCATATCCCGAATCCCAAGTCATTTATTTATTAAATTTTTAATAGAGTCCTTGGGGGAAGACAACACCTGTGGCATGGTGAATGAAAAGAAGTGCTATGATTTGAATGTGTACCCATCCAGAATTCATAGGCTGGAACCTAGGACCCAATGTAATAGTTTAAAGTGAGGGTCTTTAGGAAGTGATTAAGTCATAAGGGCTCTGTCCACGTGCACGGTATTAGCGCCCTTGTAAAAGAGTCTGAGGGAGTGATTTGGGACCTTTTTGCCCTTTCAGCTCTTCTTCCATGAAAGAAGCTGGTATTTGTTCCTTTTGCTTTTCTGCCATGGAAGGCAGCACGTGAAGCAGGCAGCATCATGAAGTGAAGAGCAGCCCTCTGACACGGAATCTGCCAGCACCTGGATTTGGGACTTCAGCTTCTAGAACTGTAAGAAATAGCTTTGTATTCTTTATGGACTACCCAGTCTGTGGTGTTTTGTTATAGCAGCAGAAATGGATTAAGGCAGAAGGTATACAGGTTGATTATTCATTATCTGAAATGCTTGAGACCAGAAGTGTTCTGGATTTCCTTTCTGTTGTGCAGATTTTGGAAAATTTGCATATACATAAGGAGATATCTTGGAGATAGGACCTGAAGTTTTATGTAAACTTTATATACATAACTTGCATATAATTTTACAGCCTATTTTTAGTACACCTACATTTTGTTTGTGGCTAACATGAAGTCAGCTGTGCAATTCCCACTTGTAGCATTATGTTGATGTTTAAAGTTTCAGCATTTAGGGTATTTTGGGCTTAGGATTTTCAGATTAGTGATGTTCAGCCTGTATCTATTGCTCCATAGCAAACCACACCCAAGATATAAAATAATGACCATTTATTAACTCTCACCATTCTGTGGGGTGGCAAGGAGCTCTACTTATCTGGAATAGATTGGGCTGGTCTTACTGGCTCGCTTAAGCATCTGTGGCTGGCTGGTGGTCAGTCTGGAGCTGGCTGGTCTGGGATGGCCTCAGTGGGCAGTGCATCATTTTGCCACAGCAGAGGCCTCCCTTCCTCCAGCAGGCTGACTCAGGCTTACTCTCATAGCTATGGACTTCAGAAGAGTACAAGTCCAAGCATATGTTGCCTCTGGAGGTCAAGGCTCAAAACTGGCACAATGTCACATCTGCCACATTCTGTCATCTAAAGCAAGTCATAAGCAGGACTGGGACTGGGAAAAGGAAAGAGAGGCATGTAAGGCACACATCTGAAATAGACACTGGCTCTCAGGTGTTGACCCTAAAGTTGAATGACCCTGAAGTGTGAGCGCCTTCTTAAATTTTGAGCCCCAGGCTCCTGATTTCCTCAGTTTAGACTCAGCCCTGGCTTCCAGGCCAGCCCAGATTTCAAAGACGCCACATCTCTTAATGGGAAGAGCTATCAAGTCACATTGCTGAAGTCACCAATGCAAGGAGGGAAGGAAATAAAGCTTTTAATGCAATCAATCAACAGCAGGGCATTGCAAAGTCTCAGTAGTTGCTCGATCTAGAGCTTCTCGGGGGCAGGTCATTCTCAGTTTATAATCCACACCTTTTGGATTTTCTCCCATCAGCTTGAGAGTCTCTTATGTCAAAGAAGCCCTTGCCCTATTCCTATTTTCTCACTGCTAAACACTTCACCCAGCTCTGGCCTAGTTCGAGCCTCCTCACACTGGCATTTCATGAACTTGAACTCTTGAACTTGGGAGCTGGTAAAATGCGGTCTTGGGTTTAGGTATCCAGAAATGATGGCCATTATTTTAAAGGGGATTGGTAATGACATTTTAACACAAAATCAAAGCTTGTTTTTACAGTACGTGTGGCTTCAATGTGTTTGCTAAATCCAGCAGGCTGACTGCTTTCTCCAGTAGGATTCTAGGAATTTGAAGAATTGATGGGTCTTTGATTGAGGAGATTTCTAAAGGATGCAGGTGTCCAAATGCACGATTATATCTGGACTTGAGAGATGTGGCTCCTTTGGGGCTAGAGGTATTGTTAATAGAGTCAGCACTTGGATTCATGGCAGGCAGAAGCTGCTTCCTACAGGAGGATAGAAATGCGGCCACCAGATGCATTGTTATCACAGCTGGATTCAAGGTCACTCTTAAGTCAAGAGCATCAGGCTGTGTCAACAGGAATAAAATTGACTGGACCAGTAATGGCATTGGCTTGTGGTGTGACCTGGGGTCTGGGTCCTACATCCAACTTTGATCCAATTGTCAAGGAGGTCTGGACTTGGCCCTCGAGTTTGCTGCTTTCCTTTGCCACTCCCCTTCTCCCCCAGTTCTGACAGAAAGCCTGTCCAAAATTGAGTTCTGACCAGGTCACACCTGGCTCTGATCCCTTCCTCTGGCCAACTTTCATATGCTTCTTTTGTACAGAATAGGCTCCAGCCACCTTGAACTTGCCTGTCACATTCCCCTTGCTGTGTTCTTACTCACCCTTCCTCTCTTGCTAGAGAGCCCTTCCAGCTATGTAAGTCGAGATTCTATCCATTTCTTAAGGCACAGATTAGTTTTTGCCTCTTCCATGAAGTTTTCTCTGATCTTTTTATAGAAATCCTCCTCAAATATCCCAAGATATTTTGAGGGTATTAAAATTAAGTGTAGGTGCCCACCAACAGGTGAATGGATAAAGAAATGGAGGTGTGTATACACGACATAGTACATGACTATCAGCCATGAAGAAGGATAAAATTATATCATCTGCAGGAAAATGGATGGAGCTGGAGATCATCACATTAAGTGAAGTACATCAGACTCAGGAAGACAAGCATTGCATATCTTCCCTAATATGTGGAATCTAAAAAAGATGACGTGAAAATAGAAGGGCTACTCTTATTAGACAAGAAGAAGGGAATAAAGGGGGGATGGAGTATAAAGGAGAGTAACGGGAAGATAAAAATGTTATTAATATGAAGAAGTCATGATGTTAACATGAATTTTTATTGGATTGTAAAGATATCCACTATGCTATGTTAAGTGAAACAATAGGTTATGAAATAGTCCATATAGCTTTGCCAATGTTTAATTTTTAAAAATGCATTAATGTATGGCAATATCAAGAAATCAGCTAGATTTAATCTATTTTAATCTGTCTCTTGAGAGTGAGATGGTGAGAGCATTTTTCTTTTTGTCTGAGAGTATTTTTTGACTTGTGCTATTATAAAATGCTTCTAAGCAGAGGAAAGTAAAAATTGTGGCTGGGCATGTGGATACATACTTGTAATTTCAGTACTCTGGGAGGCTGAGGCAGGAAGATTGCAAGTTAGAGTCCAACCTGGAAAAATCCCTGTCTCAAAATAAAAAAAAATGAAAAAGGGCTGGAGATGTAGCTCAGTGTGAAGGCCCTGAGTTCAACCCCCTTGTGATAGATATGTTAATTAGCTTGATTGTAGTAATCATTTCACAACATATATGTATCTCAAAGCATGATGTTGTACACCTTATATATATGTATTTTATTTGTCAATTATATTCAATAAGAAAGAATATCATTCAGGATAAAGGCTTTGCGAATGGTTTGGGATCAAATACAAATTTTATTATTTACTGGCTATGTGGCTTTGGGCACAGTGCCTTAGCTAGAATGGATTATAAAATATAAGTACTTCAAAAGATCTTCTGCAAATGGAAAGGGATCAAGAGATGGAGTGGGAAGGGGGAGGGGAAGAGGGTTAAAATAAATTAAGATGTATTAATGTATATGTACCAACTTCCCATGAAGAATATGATCACTATGTATGATAAACAAGTACTAAGAAAAAACTGGAAAGAAGAATACAAAAATAAAGCTATACTTCATATATCATGGTAAAATTGAATATCATATATTGATTTGCAATAGGGTCTGAATACATACTGTCAATTTTTATCATTGTTGTTTTAAAGTACCAGAAAGTAGTTATCAAGCATTTGCTATGTGCCCAGGGTCACAGAAGGCACTGGAGAAACAGTGCTATATTCTGCCTCGTACAGCGTAGAGTTTGTTATGGTTTATGCCTGGATGTCCCCTCCCTGGAAACCTTATGTGGTCATGGTATGGGTAGGCTTTTGGGAAGTGGCTGAATCTAGAGTTTGTGATTGATTCACGGTCTAATGATGGGATTAAGGGTATGAATGCTACACCGGCCCTAAGGTGGGTAGCCTGCATACAATATAAGGGAGGGAAAGAGGCTTGTCCTCCCCTCATTCCCTTACTGCTTTTGCTAGCCCCTCTGCCATGTGCCACCCTGCCTTGGAGCCAGCTGATTATAGACTGATACCTCCACAAACTAAATACTGATATTTGCGTACTGATACCTCTACACTAAATAAACTTTTCCTCCCTTTAACTTTGAGCCTTGGGTATTTTGTCCTAGCAATGAGAGAAAAGTAAATAAGACAGAGTTTAACAGGTATGAAGTGCTAATGGAACCCTGTATTGTGGTGATGTTCTGTTAATTTTACCTTCTTTCCAGATTACCAGGACATGGGCACCTGGCCTGTATTTTCGTATGGTTTCAGAGCATCTGACAGCTCATTTCATGCACAGTGAGTGGTATGTGAATGAATGGAAATATAGATGATAGTGGATCAGTTGCCAATTCAGATGGAGCTATCCTTGCCAAAAATTGTTAAGCATGAACTCTAGATCACATGGGGAAGATCGTTTTTCGTGACTATATGAAATTACTTTTTAAAAATTTTCATTAGTGTATATTTGTAGCATTCAATGATTACATTCACCATGGGGAGTTGGTACATGCATGGGACACATCTAAATTCTTACCTTCCTTCCACTCCCCTTCCCCCCATACTCTTAAACCTGTTCCTTTCTTTTTTTTGAGACAGGGTCCCTATGTAGTTCAGGCTGGCCCTGAACTTACTATGCAGCCCAGACTGGCCTCCGACTTGAGGCGATCCTCCTGGCTCAGGCTCCTGAGTGCTGGGATTACAGACATGTGCCATCATGCCTGACCCTTAGATTTGTTTTTTGCAAAAAATCAATCTCCTTATTTCTTATTATCTATCTTTTGTTTTGCTCTTTAATTTATGTGTAGTTTGGTATTCTCATATAAGAGAAACCACATTATGGTTAAGCTTTTGTGTCTGATTTATTTCACTTAACATTATAGTCTCAAGTACACCCATTTTTCTACAAATGACTCAAAAATGACTTATCCTTCTTTATGGCAGAGTAGTATTCCATTGTGCCTAGATACCACATTTTCTTTTTCCATTTGTCTGTTGGTGGATGTATAGGTTGCTTCCAAGATTTAGCCATTATGAGTGGTACTGCTATAAAGAGAGGTGTGCATGTGTCACCATACTATGATGCTTTTAACTGGGAAAGGTCTTGAATGGAGAACTATAGCTAGAATCCTGGGCCAGGCACAAGGAATGTCGTGTATAGGTAGTAAGAAGTAGGCACCAGGGACTTTCATTCTGCCTGATGATGTCTTGGGGCAGAAAGCTGCAATTCTCCTTGCCACAGTGAGATAAGTCCCTTGTCTCTATAACTGAAAATATGTGAGCCTGAGGCAATGGGAAATACGTTAGTCTGAGTGTCTGGATTTTGGTCCAGGCTCTGTTGTTGAGCATCTATGTGACTCTCACCTTCTGAGCCTCAGTTTCCCCATTTGAAAATTAAGGAAGGAGGACTACCTCAGCGGTTTAATAACTCATTATCTTTTTTTCTCTGTCTTTTCTTATTTATTCCTTTCTCTCATAAATATTTTAACCCAAACCATTTTTCAAGTGAATTCATGTTCAAAGATGTTCTGTTTAGCACGAGACTGGAAATCCTGGGGCTTCTGGCATTCAGTTCTCTTGTCCCTTACTGCTTCCCACACTGTCCCAACAGTGGTCTGAGAAGACTTCTAAAAACTTGCAGGATTCCAGCAGACCCAAGAAAACCCTGGCCTCTTGATTTCAGGGCCTTTTGCTCCAGCATTCTATGACTCAGGGCAACAGAATCCAAAGCCTTTAATTAAAATCATTTCAACTGCTCCCCATTAACTATGATGGATGCACCAGCTGGAGAATAAGTGCATTAATGCTATAATTATCTGTTGAGGATGTTTTATTGATTCTGCAATGATATTCTAGTCAGTTTGTATTATTTAGTTTCAGACTTAAATCATGAAGAAATGTCTATTAGTGAAGAAATTAATCATCTAGATCAAATTGTCATTGATGCTTTTAGAAATAAGACTTGGGAATAGGCTTAGTCAAATCTCCTCTTGCCCAGTGTTGGTGGCGGTGATGGTCAGTGGTCTGGGCTGAGGAGAAGGCTTCAGTTCATAGCTCTGAGACTGCAGGTGAAATGTCAAGTCCCTCTTGCACATCAATAAACCTTTTCTCCAGCTTGGTTTTCTGGAATCCATGCTTCCTACTGTGGGTCCATAGATGATACCAAGGCAGGGCCAGGCCTAAGGCCTTGTGAGCTTTCTGGGATTCTAGGGCTTTTCTCTCTGGGTTTTAGTGCCAAGGTCCCTAAAGCATCAGCTCCTTCATGTCTTGAGGGGACCCCAGAGGAAGCCTAAGAGATGAGACCCTCAGATGTGGAATTTCTCAGTGAGAATGGCTTCAGTTGCAAACGACACAAAACCAATGCAAACAGACCCAGGCCAAAGAGGAATCTGGCTCCCACTACTGAAGTGTCCGGAGGAGGGCTGCTTTCTACATGGTTTGGCTGAGGTATCAAAAGACCTGGCTTCTCTGTGTCTCAGGTTGACTTTGCTGGACCTCTGAGCCTTGTATTCAAGCTATCTGATGGCAAAAAGGGGGCAGCAGCTTCATAGCCACTCACTCCAGCATTACATTAGGTGGAGAGGGTTGCCTTGTCTCTCCCAAAGCCCCAGAGGATGCACCCCACCTTGCTGGCTTGACTGTGCATTTCCTTTCTGCATTAAATATTGGTAGCTGTGGGTTGGCATCAGCTGCAATGGCTCTGTCTGGCTCTGCTGGGCTCCTCAATGTGTGCTTCTCCACGCATACACAGCCCCAATGTGGGATAAGAACATTATGAGGGCAGATGAGAAGAACAGAAAGGGAGATGACATGATCAACCCAATGCTCCTGCTCAGATGTAGTGCACATCACAACCACTCATATCCCACTGGCCAAAGTCAATCATGTGGCCAAGACAATATAGAAGGGCCTGCGGAATACACAGGTCCCACAGGGACAGAGGGGAGCGAGCACTTGCAAGCACTGATAGGGTTTACCGTAACTCCTAGTCTACATGAGCTGAGAAGGTAGGGGGGACTCTTCCAGAAGAAAAGCAGGGGCAATTTTCTAGAAGCATCAGCCTCCTTTGATATACTACAGTCCTCTCATCCGCTGTTTGAAATCTCTTCCCTCTTTCCCCCAACGAAGGGAAGCACGTAACCTTCCGAGACAACCCACTTTATCTTGTGACCACTCTGCCACTCTTCCAGAAAGAAAAGAATGGAAAAAGCTTTCTTTAGCTCTAGCTGTGGAAGCTACCAATATGACAGGAGAGACAAGGAGGAAGACATGGAGGTCTTAGGCTCATCTGAAGGGCTTCACTGAAAGAAAGAAGCAGGATGTGAGAGAAAACAGCAAGGTAGAATATCATTCTCTCAGGATTGTTTCATTCTAATGTACGCAAAGTAATTAAAATACTCTGCCACCCACGCATCCTTTTCTCGGGGCGAGGGATTTGTGGTCCTGGGTGATCCCGGATCCAGGCGGAGGGATGAGTCCTGGATCAACAGGAACGTGACTTCTTCTCCTTCATGTGTCTTTGGATGAACTGTTTACTTAAACTGGCTTTTAATTTACTAGCCAACAATTAGAACTGGCTAACAGGCCAACAAGCTGGTGTGCTGCACCCAATTATCTTCTGAAAATGTATTTCTATGATTGGGGCTTTTAATTGCAATTTAAATCAAATGCTCATGAACCCAGGTGCCATCGAGGGAATGAGACCAGTTAATGAAACAATGAGGGCTCTTAGTCCAACTCAGAGGTAAAGGGACACCAGGAAAGGAGATTGTTTCCTTTTTATTTCCTTCTTTTTTTCTTAAATTGCCTTTGAAGACAGTGATGCCATCAATCCCAGCACAAGGCGGCAGCGGTCCAAAAGAGGCTCCTTGTTACAGTGAGACCATAAGAGGCCCCAGAGCCTGTCTTGCTTTCCAGGGGTCATCTTGCTTTCCAGGTATCTTTGCCTGCACGGGTTTCAGTGGCTTCCCCTCTCCGAACATCTTCGGTGGCTGCTCCCAGACTGAAGGAGCGGTGCCCCTCTCAGGGTCCCGTGGGGAAGGAGTTTGTGTCCCTGGGACCGATGTTTTTATGCAGATGTGGCATGAGCCCAGAGCCCAGAGCCATGTCGTCTCTCTCCCCACTAACTCATAGTGCTTAATTCACGTTACTTCCCTCTTATGAAGAGCAGATTTGCCAATTATCCCTGAAATTTTTGATTAGGTGCCTTTTACCTAAGACACTGTGCCACAGGCTATGGACTCCTGAGGTTCATTTAGTTCCCTCTGAAGGATGAGAGGGGCTTGGCTGAAAATCACAGACACTGTACCATTTTCAGACACAAGCAAGTCTTTTTTTTCCCTCAAGTTTCCACGTACCTTTGGGCTTGCACCTGGATGATGTGGATTTAAAACAGCTACAGCAACAACCATAACAGGCACCATTTCCCCTGCGAAGTGGTTGTCATTCCAGCTGCACATTAGAATCACCTTGGGAGTCTTAAAAAATACTGATGCCCGGGCTCTCTCACCCAGGAGTTTCAACTTCCTGGGTCTGAGTTTGGGCCCAGGCAGTAATACTCTTAAAAGCTCCCCAGATAATTCTCACTCACACCCAGAGCTGGGAACCACCAATCATATGCCTCTAGTATACCAGGAATGGTGCAAGAGATTTGCATATAGAAGGGCTGGAATGAGGTATTATTACTATTTCCATTTTCCAAACAAGGGGATGATGCCCAGATGGATTTAGTAACTCACCCGGGATGACCCATTGGCTAGATAGCAATGACAGGCTATCAGATTAGGCCTTTCACAGTCCTAGAGGTACATAAGCGCAGGCTGTTTGAACTGTTTGAGGTTAAAAGACCAGGGGAAGCCGGGCATGGTGGCGCATGCTTGTAATTCCAGCACTTGGGAGGCTGAGGCAGGAGATCGTTGGGAGTTCGAGACCA